TGATTAGCTCTGGCTGGCAGGTCGATGGAAGCGTAACGTGTCTGTGGTAACGTAGGCTAACTGTGTCTTGTCAACCCTCCCGTTTTTCCCGGGATTCTCCCGTATTTTACCATTCTATCCCGCTATCATCCCGTTTAAATATTTTCCCGTATTTTCAATCTTTCTATAAAAAAAATCCCACTGGGCGTGTTTTATATGTTTGCTACATTCGCCTCCGGTAAAACTCCCGTAATTTGTATGGCACAAGCCTCAATATACGAATAATCACGTCAACAAATCTTGTATGAAACATCCTTCTCACAAAATCAGGTGCTGCGCTGCTTTGTTTACTGCGGTCACCGGGAAAATATGGCTATATTCCTGGCGAAAGAATGAAGAGAGAATGAATTTGAATTTTTCAATATGGGTACCGAAACCCGGTATTTAATCGGTCCCGGGGCTAAATTATGAAAGAGCGGAGTATCGATAAGCTCTGACGTTAACGGTTCTGCTATCGGTACTGGAGAAATTAAGAAAACACACATATACATTTATTATTGCTATATATACATTATCTTGCCAATTCTATCTCACCAGAGTCACCAGCTGTTTTGCAAACATTTGTCTACGATGCATTTTTTGCTATTCGCAATTCAGAAGCGAGGAGCTTCAGCGCGCGCAACATGAAAGCCCGGTTTAATTATGATAGAAGAGAGAACTAACGGTTCTGCTATCGGTACTGGAGAAATTAAGAAAACACACATATACATTTATTATTGCTATATATACATTATCTTGCCAATTCTATCTCACCAGAGTCACCAGCTGTTTTTCAAACATTTGTCTATGATGCAGTTTTGCTATTCGCAATTCAGAAGCGAGGAGCTTCAGCGCGCGCAACATGAAAGCCCTGTTTAATTATGATAGAAGAGAGAACTAAACATTCAAACATCTGCTTACACTTTAGGCCTGTGGTGGTTTTATTAAGCTAATTGTATTTTTTTATTTCGATTTTTGGCTTCTAAGGATTTTACAAAAGAAGACATGAGGTAAAGCTATTAAAAACTTCTTTCCCTTCACAGCGGGGCGCATTCGTTCCTCGCTAAAACCCAAACTTAACGTCAGAATCAGCTCAGTCGGTGATTGTTGTAAGATGCCGTCTTTACTGTAGCTAAATTGCGGGGCATGTTTGATAAAACGTTGAAAGCACAATCCGCACAAGAGACGCTGTTCCTCAGGCTGACATGTGTGCGCGCGACGCGCTCCAAAACGCACAAACAAATGACACTTTGAGCTTCGGGTGCATGTCCAATCGATCAAATACACACTAAATATGTCCAAATGGCCGGCTTGGAGAGTATTTACTTAAACACAGTCTTAAGCGGAGGAGAACAGTTGGGAGAAAATCCGATGTGTGTCAATATATTGTCTT